GAATCTTCACTACCACTTCAGAAGGAAGTACTATTGTCCTAACCTTACAGGAAGAGGCTTAGGCAAGAAAAATGGCTGACCCAGAAGTCAGATACAGTATAACGGCAGTGACCCCAGTGCAGAGCTTAGCTCAGGCCCATCAGACTACATGTGCTCAACCATCAGACCTGGTCTCCATGCCTCAGACCTGGTCTCAATGCCTCAGGACAGGAGACATAGACCTTGTTCCATTACCAGCAAGGGCTTCTTACCTCTGCTTCCAAGTATCACCTCCCTGTGTCTTTCCTAGGCTAAATGGTAGGTGGATGAGAACAAAGATGGAAGTTCAAGGGTCCCTCCAGTGGCAAACCACTTACCTCTACAGAGATCCCATCAGAAAGCCTAAAACCCCACGTTAAAGATATGTAACAGGATAAACTTTGTTATACAGCTGTACATAAGTTATGTAAACATTTACATAATTTTATGGGTAAATTGATAAATGTTCCATCTACTTATTTATGTGAGAAAGAAGTCTGGTAAATATATAACTAAGGTATAAACATAAATGAAGGAGTGTTGAATTACGGATTTTACATTATTTGTTTTGATTTTCTAAAATGAACACATAAGAAAAAACAGTGAACAACGAATAAAAGTGATGGTTTTATCTAACTCTTGAAATGACTTCCACCTTCCTATCCTGACCACAGGAACCGGGTTCTAATGGGGAAGTCCCTGAAGGCTCAAGAGGCCTGGCAGAGACTCTATCCAACACATTTATCTACACTGAGGGTGATTCACTCCACAAATGAGAGCTCACCGAGTGACCTCAATGAGAGAGTGAGAGAGGAGAGGAACAGCCTTGTGAAGGGAAGACTACATATAGAAGGCAGAAACAGCTATCCTGACATGAGTGATCAGCCACTGAGAGAGGAAGAACAGCAGGAGATGGACAAAAGGAATAACAATCACAAGGAGAATCAAATATAGAAATGCAGCAGCAGAAAGATCAAGGCAGAGGTGATGTGATCATAGAATGATCTTTAAATCTCTGAATTCAAGGTAAGCAGGATTTAATGACACAGTGCTTTTCTAGTTGGCATTTCTGTTTCCTTGGGTATCCACAGGAGGATCAGGGTTTTTAAGATACATCCAACTGTTGCACACATGAAAGACTGGCAAGAACATCTAGACTAGGTGAATGTGGCTTCTCTGGGGACATGTATCGAAACAGACAATACCAAGAGACCGTACAAGGCACTCTTATTTCAGGAGAAATCTGAGAAACCAAGCTGTCACATCAGTAACCTCTGGCCCTAATGGGCCTCAAACTCTATTCTTCCCTTCTTCCTCCATCTTTCCTGAACAGCCCTCCAGCCCACCCACCGCCCAGGGCTGCTTGGCCTCACAGTTCAACACTACCTGTTGCCCACGGGGCTGAAAATACAAGTAACGCTGGGGAGGAGAACTTGGAGGCAGTGAAGACTAGAATGGAATGGTCAACTGCATGGGCTACATTCAAATTCCAGCTTTGCCACAATCATCTGTGTGACCATGAGTGAGTTAACCTCTATGTTATCTGTTTCCTCTCCAGTAAAACAGGCAAATAGTACTTATAATCTAGGATTCTCTGAGGATGAAATGTTAGGACAGTATTATTACTCGTGGAGTACTCAGAACAAACATTGGACCAGCAATTAATAAGTTAAGAATATGAAGTCTTGAGCAACCAAACTGCTCTGCTCAATTCTGTTAGGAACAATGTGGCTCCTATCTGGGCCTGTTTCTACAACTGCAAATCATGATCATCTCTCTCTTTTTAACCAAAAATAAGATTAAATAACCCATGAAAGAGCAGTAAGACAAAATTAGCTCCAATAGAAAAGGTTAAAATGCCTGACACTGGCTCTTCTGTTTCAATATGCATTCTTGAGCCCAGAAGGAAGGCCAAGGCTGCTCCTCAAGTGGCCATGAGGTCAATCTTTCCCTTCTAGACAGGGCTCACCCAGAGACCTTTGCCACCGTTAAGTATGAAGTTCCTATTTCAACAGTCACTTAGCCCGGAGGTTTTCAAACCCACTCATGAAATCAAGCTGGTGGGTCACAAGCAATGCTTTTTTCTAAGTGAATTAGAAGAGAATGGAAATTTTCAGACTGTATTATCTGTGATGCAACATTTACCAGAGTGTCCTATGTGTATTCCTGGTGTGTCAGTTTAAAATGTACTCTCACTGGGGTCACAGTCAAGTCTAAAAGCCTATTGCCAGGTACCCAGTCCCCATCCTGAAGCTCATGAGGGGAGGTAACCAGGAAATGCTTCCTTTTATGTCTTTTTAGATGTCCTCCCCCACAAAGCCTTTTGTGGTCATAGGTGGGGCTTTTTCAGAGGTGGCTGGATGTAGTGTGTGATGTTGGAATTGATTCATGGTGCAATGCTGGGCTCAAGGGCACTAGGATTAAGGGTGGGAATGCTACCTACCCTAAGCAGTCTGGATAAAATGGGCAGAAAGATGCTGTTAAGGTCCATTGTTGCTCTTGTCTTGCTTGCAATGAACTGGTTCTCCTTTTTGATGCCCGTCTATCATGTGCCACCCTGGCTTGGAGCCAGTCAATTATGGACTGAAACCTCTATAAAGTGTAAGTCAAATAAACCTTTCCTCCCTGAACTTGTGGACATTGGGTATTTTGTCTCAGCAATGAGAAAAGTAACTAAGAATTCGGTACCAGAGAAGTGAAGTGGTTGCTATGACTATATCTGATCGTATGATTTAAGATCCTTTGGAGCTGGCTTGTGGGAAAGGGAAGTTAGGAAAGGTTTGGAGATTCTGGCTGGAAAAGTAGAGCTGGAATGGTGGCAGCTGTACTTGATGGGAAATTCTGGTCAGAGCTCAAAGACCAGAAGGCTATCAGAAATCCTACCAGTAAAGACCAGGCTTGGGAGGCTTCTGTTGGGAAGTACTGCTTTCATTGGCTGTTGGACTCCAGATGATGTTATATACCTTGGCAGAAAGTTTGTCTGCATTTTGCTTGTGTCTGGAGACTTTCCCTGAGACTGAGATTAAGGGCAGCAGACTAATTAATCTGGCAGAAGAAATTTCAAAACAGTCTAATGTTGAGACAGAGGCATGGCTACTGTTGGGGGCTTTTAGCCAGATTTATGTTGAGAATCAAGAGCACAAAGCCTAGCAGAATAATTTAAAATGCTTTGGGTTTAGCTAGAAAGGAAGCTCCAGTTAAGCTGTAGCCTGAAAAGATAAGAAGTGGACAAATTGGTTGCTGAAAGTACTAGCAAGAGAAAGCCAAGTATTTCAGAAGGCAACTGAAAAGAGCTTGAGAACATAAAAAACCAGCAGGACTCCACTCTTTGCAGCCTCAAAATTGTGATGAAAGACTTTACTTTGAGAAGAGAGCCCAAGAGCACCATGTTCAAGAATGGCAGTGGCCTAGGGAAGTTGTTCCTTGGGGTTAGGATCAGAGTACTTAGCAATCCAGGCACTTGACCTGTCCAGCCAAAACAGAGGGAAGCCTGGCTACTGCTCCAGCTGGCTGCAGACCTTGGCATCATTCGTGTGGTTGGTTTTAGGTGCATGCAGAATGCAAGAGGTGTGGGGTCAGTGCGCTGGAGATTTCGCTCAGCGGTTCTGCCACCTGCCTCGGAAGCAGGTCCTGAGTTTGATCCCTGGTACCCGGCCCCCCATAAAAATCAAAGCCTTATGGGGTCAGGAAGCCTTCCACCCAGATTCCAGAAGGCCTGGGAGGCAGGCAGTGTGCCCAAGAGGGCAGTGTGTGAAGCTGTGTGAAGCCAAAGGTGCAGTGGAGACCCCAGAAGTTGGATCTTCTGAGGAAAACTGCGAGGGAGCAGAGCTGACCCAAGAGAGAAGCCATGGAAGCTACCACCACCATAAGTGCCATAGGGGCGGAGCCACCCAAGCCCTTTGGAGTTGTCAGATTGCCTTGGATGCTGCACATGGAAATACAGGACTTAAATGTTTGCTCTGCTAGATTTTGGACTTGCTTTGGTCCAGGTCCCCATTTGTACCTTTTAGAATGGTAATGTCTATCTTGTGCCAATGAATGTTGGAAGTGTTGAACTTTCTTTCATTTGTACAGGGCCTTGTAGCTAAAGACTTGCCTTAAATCTGAGACTTTGGACTTTTCAGCAATGTTGAAACTGTTAGAACTTTGGCAACTCTTGGAGATAGATATGCTTTTTTGCATAAAGGAATATGCATGAGTCCTCAGGGGGCCCAGGGTGGAATGTCTAAGTGTCTCCCCAAAAAACCTCATGAAGTCATAGGTGGAGCTTTTTCAGAGGGCTGGATCTAGTGTGATGCTACAATTGATTCATGGTGCAATGCTAGGCTCAAATGCACTAGGATTAAGGGTGTGTTAGGCACCCTAGTAGTCTGGATAGAGGGGCAGGAAGATGCTGTTAAGGTCCCTTGTTGCTTTTGCTGTCTTTGCTCGCAATGAACTGGTTCTCTCCTCTGTGATGCCCCTCTACCATGAGCCACCCTGCCTTGAAGCCAGCCAATTATGGACTGAAACATCTGTAAACTGTAAGTCAAATAAACCTTTCCTCTCTTAACTTGTGGATGTTGGGAATTTTGTCTCAGCAAAAAGAAAAGTAACTAAGACACTGAGCCAGCAGAGGGTGCCCAGGACAGAGCAGTCACTGAGAGGGATTCAGATGCTCTGGTTTTCTCCCAGGCCAGGCCTGCACAATGCCAATCATTCTGCTGACTTCATATCCATCCCAGCTCCAGTGATTACCGGTAGGGATGTAGCCTGGAGTCCCCTCTCCATCATCCAACCTGGCCTCTGTCCTATCTGGTGCCCTCCTCAGCTGTCCTGGGGCTTTTCTCTCCAGTCCTTGTCTGCCAGTCATCTGGTTTCCGGCCACCTACTTCCTCTCACCTGTGGAGCCTTTCCCTCACTATGCTTTCTCCTTTCTTTCCCTTTTTTGGCCCACCCTTCACCTTTCCCAGGATACATGCACACACACATACACACACAAATTCTTTTCAGACAATTCAGCCTTTATTTTTGAAAATAATTCTGTGGATTCCACTTTCTTCTGTGAAAGTGAGTTCAGGCAATAAAAACACAAATTCCTCTGCAACCTGCCATTTGCTCCTAGCCTGTGAGGATATGGAAATGTAGGACTTGTTCCAGGGCCAGAGCTATCCTGATCTCAGCTGCTCTATCTCAGACTAAAAAGGCCACTAGAAGCCACCGTCTTCAGGGAGGGGCCTGTGCACCAAACCCCGGGGGAAAAAGGGACAAAAGGACCTCATCTGTCTTTCACCAAACCAGCACAGAATCCGCCTAAAAGACAGAGACTGACATTTTTTAGAAGGGGGTCCAAGGATAGTATCTCTTTGAGGCAAAAAATGGGTGGGGGAGCAAAGGCTTTCCTCTCACCACCTTTCCCCTGCCAGCCGTGTATGAGCCAAGGAGATCTTGCTTTTCTTCCTCCACTTTCCATCTCCAACTACTAAGTGTTAGACTGCAGAGAAAGAAGAGCTGAGAGGAGATCAGCGGCAAGGAGAGAAGGACAAGAGACAAGAAAGCCTGGCAACCCATCAACTCCATCCCGACCCTGCCATGAAAGCCCTTTGGTTAGTCTCATTTTGGCCACAAACACATTCTCCTCTCCCATAACCCAACCCCACATCGGGGTAAGGTGGTGAAAGAGGAAAGAGACAGGAGGAGGCTCATGCCCTGGCTGGAAGAACCGAATCAGAGAAGAGGCTTGGTTAAGAAAGCTACAGTTGCCAACCTCTCTGCAGAGACCATAGGAGAAAACTCAGGATGTGGACATTCTTGGCCCCAACAAGCCCAAGTCTCTTCCTACCACACAGTGGTTTCTTGTATAATGGCTCCCAACATACCTCAGAATTGTTGTTCTCCTCTGACTCCCTTGAGAACGGGAGAATACCCCTCACATTATCATCTGTGCATTTGAATGCTACTCAAAAAAAATGCAAAGGAAAATAAAGATAAATGGACCCCAAAGGGCAACACAGACAGGACGATACAGTCTGGGGACTGCAATCCCATCTCAGCTCATGACACGGCAAGGAAAAGATCCCAAAGGGATAGGAGGTGCTGTTAATTCCAACTAGGATCATAGCCCTCCCAGGTCTGTGGGGGCGCCAGATGGACACGACGGCCCCGGAAATGGAAGGTGACGATGCCTCGGTAGCCGGCCCTGGGAACACCTGACTTGAGGTCATCCATGACACCCAGGGCCTTGGCAAAGGCCTTGAAACTGTCCCTACTTGTATACTGCACTCGCACCTCTCCCAGCTCCTTCCGATCGTTGGTCCTCACTTTTTCCACCTGTAGCTGAGGAGCACCATAGACTCGGGCAAGGAAATCACGGTCATAGACCTCCTGCTGCAGGTATGACAAGTCCAGCTGGGTGAAGGGCACAAACTGCTGGTTCAGCTTGATGAACTTGAGGTGCTGGTCAAAGAACTGCCCATGGCTCACACCCTTTCGGCCAAAGGTCATTGTTCTTGAGATTTCAGGGCGCACGCAGGCCCGCCCCTTCCGTTGCTCAGGCCGGCGCATCCAGTCATCCCAGAAGGCCTTGGGCCACTTAGGCTCCAGCTCAGCCCACAGTTCAGCCAAGAGCAGCCAGCCCAGGCCAGGAAAAAAGTCTGTGCGATAGAGCAGCTCTGGCTTGCTCAAGTCCACCATCTGCTCCTTGCCATTGTCATTCCAGGCAGACACACACCAAAGAGAGGGGTCGCGCCTCAGCAGTGGGTAAGTGGCCTGAAAGTACTCAAAGAAGTCTGGTGCTACTTCTAGATCATCCTCCACCACCACAGCTGCTGGAAACTTGAACTCATGGAAGATCTGGCCCAGTGCCCAGCGATAGTGCCTGGCAATCTTGTAGTAGCCCTGGAACTTGCGGTGGTCAGGTTGCACAGCAATATTGCTCAAGTCAGGCTGCCGTATGTGCGTGACTGCATTGCCATAGGAAGCAATGACCTGGGCCGTTTCCTCGTGCCCACAGTCCTGGCTGACAATAATGGGGAAGTGCTCAGCTGAGGGCCGATAATGCAGCAGTTTGTCCAAGCAGCGTCGGACAGTGCTGCGGTCACAGGCAATGACTAGGATGGGAATTACAGCTGGTGATGAGGTCACAGGCACATGAGGCTGGGCAGGAAGAGCTACAGTGGGGACCCTCCACCGCTGGCTCCACAGAGCATGGTGCTCCCTGATCTCCTGCAATAGCCCCCGCTGACGCTCTAACTCCACTTCGGCGTCCTGGGCCAGGCGGATCACCTCTCGGGTGAGACTGGCAGGGTCACCATTGAGAGCATTGTCTAAGGGTGGCCGGCCAGGTGCTGGGCGTGTCCAGAAGAAGAGGAGCAGCAGGGCATTCCAAGCCACAAAGAGGATAGCTCCCCACAGCACAAGCCCTGCAGACTGCTTCTTCAGCATCCTGGCCCCCACCGGGGAGGGCGGGCAAGGGAGGGCTCGAGGCTGCCCCTGAGTTTCCTTGACCGCAGTTCTAGAGATGCTTCCCCTGGGCTATGGGATCAGGAAGCAGTCATGAACCTAAAGAGAGAAAAGAGAAAAGCCAACTGTCATCACAAAGGCATATAGGTCCACACTTTTATGAGGTACAAGGATATGAAGGGCAGGAACAGGTGAAAAAGTAAGAGGCAGGAAGCAGAGGTGGACTGGTGGTCTCTCAGTGAAGAGTTGCCATTCCCCTAATCTTGTCAGTACTCCAAAATGAGCTAACTAGCCCTCAGAAAAGCAATAATGTTTAAGTGGAAGGTAGAGAGTGATGCTGGTGGAAGGGAGAAAACAACCTTCCCAACCTGACAGATTTCACTTCCATCATCCACAGCTTTGAGGGAAGAGTGAGAGGTGAACCATTTACCTCCCACTCCTCAAATTAAATTGCCCTACAGTACTGATTTAGAAATCAAACATCACAACTCACTTATTAAGAAAGCATTCTGATTAAGGAGGCATTCTCATGAACATCAGGAGTAAACCCAGCTGCTCATGAACTCCATGGCTACTAACATTATGGTCCACGTATCTGCCAATACAATTGGATTACAATTAAAGGCAGAAAAAAAGTAAAGCTATCTCTATTTGCTAATGCTGCAAAACTATGCTCCAAAACCCTAAGATAATTAATGATGAAACGAAACCAAATAGAACTGAGCAAGGCAGTGGGATATAAAAACATACAAAATCAATAGCCTTTATATCTATATAATAGGTAAGAAAACCTATTTACAAAAGCCTGAAAATGGTGAAATATTTACAGATAAGTTTAAGAAGCTGTACAATTCAAATTCAAAAACTGTACAAATAAAACTATAATTCCTAAAAAACACAAAAGGAAACCACAATATCCTTTTCTCTTAGAACATTACAGCACCATCAAAAATTCCAACAAAATGATTTTTTATGGACCTAGACAAACTGATACTAAAGTTCACATAAAAGACTAAAAACAAGACTATCCAGGAAAATAATAAAAATGAGTTTTGAAAATGGACTAATCCCGGCAGATACTACAACAATGCAAATTATAAACCCTCTGTAATTAAAAGTGATACAGGTAAATAAATAGACTACCCAATGGAATACAAGTTAGACTCCAGAAACAGATGAATTATACACAGAGATCTAGTGTGTGATATTTATAATTACTGAGGAAAAGATCTTATTATTAATAGAACTACAATTATATATCCATTTGGAAAAACTTACAATTAGATCCATTCACAAAAGGACAACACTGAAGTGGATGAGAAATCTAAATATAGATATCATGAATTTTTTTTTTGGTACCTGGGATCGAACTCAGGACCCTGTGCTTGTGAGGCAGGTGGCAGGACCACTGAGCTAAATCCCCGGCCCAGAAATCTAAATATAAAAAATAAGATTATAAGGGGTATTAAATGGAAATTTGGGGGAGCATGCATATATTTATTATATTGATTGCAGAGAGTTTCACAGATGTATACATGTCAAAATTTAAACTGCAACTTTTAAACATGTGAAGTTCACTGTATGTCAATTATACCACAATAAGACTCTTTCTACAAATGTGTTACTGAGTCCATGCTCCTAGGGGAGAAGGTGAGCCAGTCCCAGCACCCAGAAGGAGGCTCCCCTGCCACCATCCCAAGCTCCTAGGGCAGAGAAGGTGAGCCGCATGGGCACCAGAAGCACAACCCCTGCCAACGTGGAAATGAGAAGACACATAAACAAGCCTCAAAACCAGACTTCCAGATCACCTACAGCAACCCCAAAGCAAAACGAGATGGAACAATCTGATACTCAACCACCTGGACTCTCTGAACTGGCAACAAAAGAGGATCTGGGAAAAATGAAATCAGAAATAATTACTC